CGAAAGTAAACTACGGAATATCAAATGATTCAATTTAGTTCCTCTAAATAAGATAATTAATAATTAATATTAACAAAATTAAGTCAATCAATTTCCACTAAACAAGATTATTACTAATTATTAGTACACAATTAATAAAAATATTATTACATTATTACGTATATAATTAATTTGAACTGGCATATTTTATTACATCCATTAATATTAGTATATAAAATTTATTACGAGTTAATAGTATTGTTCCCACGAAGAATGCAATCTACTCTATAGTGCAATAGATTTTATTAAATTCGAAATGTAGTAACATGAGAAGAGTATTGAGTTTTGTTATTTATATTAATTTCTACTCTAAAAAAGCAAGTAAATATGATGTTTTTATCTATGTGAATATTTGTATTGGATTCATGTACCCCCGGCCCTCCCCCGGCCCTCTTTTCATCTATTTCAATTCTCAATAATTAATCTATTCAATTCATACATTTTGACAACTGATAAAGATAATATGTTAAATACTATTTTCCAAGATACACCAATCTTTGACTAACACGAGAGATCTTATTTATAGTTCCAATTCATATGAAATTCATGCATCTAGTTTAGATTGTCAATAAGAATGCATGTGTGACAAATATTATTCATAATTCTAACTACACATGTTGATTTTATCGTCTTCTATACTTATTGTGAGTATTCTCATACTACAACTAACAACTAGCTATTCAATTGATGGCTAAATAACCAAATGGTGCAATGAGTATGTAAAATCAATCAAACAACGCAAGAACTTCCTAAATTAATGTCTTGAATTGATATAAATAAAATAAGGTTTACACACTCTTCCAATACAATTGAAAAACTAGCATAACAGGTTTAGAATTAAATTACAAAAGAATAATTGAAAAATAATCACCCGAAAAGAAGAAATAATGAAAAATTAGGAATTTTCCACGTTCTTAATGTGAATATTGAATTCGGACGAAAAATATTCAATAACCTATGTAATTTGCCTTAATTTCATGTTGTTAGCCTTTTTCTTCGCCTTCCAAATTGATTAGAATCTATGAATTTTTTAAGTCTAAGAAGGTTAAGGTATGTATAGTGTGCCAAAAAATTGCATACAAAAAATTTCCAAAACAAAATAAAGAAACATAATTTTTTTTCTCGAAATTGAACCATGTGTACGTCGTACACACAATAGACTCTAAATAGCCCCAATCAACTCAAATAATGTTTGAGTGTGCACATGGGTTGCAAGCCTATGTGTACACATGGTATTCCCTTTTTGGACCAAACTGTATATTGGTCCCTAAAGGTTTCTAATTGTGTATTTTAATCATTTTAGACAATTTTTTCATCCCGTGGCTTCTCTTCACCTCCAACTGACCCTTGACATTCTTGAATCACCATCTTGCATTCCGACACAACTATTGGAATGTTGCACTTTAGTCCCCATATCCATTTCATCATTTTTCTTCAATTTTTCATTTTTTTTCCAATTCTTCATGCAATCATCGAGTTTTACATATTAAACACAATATCACACAAATTAGGCTCTAATCCGTCCAAAGAATAACAAAATATCATCATTTAAGGCCCCAAATAGGTGTAGAAATTACACTTATCACCATCCAATGGTCTTTGCAATGGAACGAGAATGATTTGTCACGATTTCAAGAAACGTATTATCAATGCAGAAATAATAGTTAGACAACATACTGAAAAAAAAAAAGTTTCCCTTCCACACATCCCATTAACTCTAGCAAATGATGAATAATATCCATTCAAATTCAAATGGAAACAATTTTCTATATATCTATACTTTGCAATGACTATTAACAAGGTTTAAGGAAAAACATTGCCTACCGTTGGAATATAACTTCCTGAATATGTATTCTCTCATAGACAACTATATGTCGCACTTTCTCGCAGAGTTTATATACAAACAACAAAAATCTTGATAAAAGCAGAAAATAAAAAAAAGAAACGATATATGACATTTGCAAAAATTATTGTGTATAAAGAAGTGTTTGTGTAACATAACATTATATTTAAATATATTCAACATTTTCACATTACATACATAATTTCGTGTGTGTGTGTGTGTGTGTGTCTATACATGCTTTAACAATATCAATTATCTCAACTACTTTAAAAATAGTATTAGTACTTATAAAACATTACGCATATCATTCATCTGATACATAAATTGAGCAACGCACATGCTTACTACTAGTAGCTTGAAAAAACATATTGAAAATCATCCAAACATGTTCGAAAGTGGTTTTTTAGATTAAGTAGTAGCTTTTTGCTTTTCAAAAGTCCTGCCAAAAGGGCACTAAGTTAATAATGAGTTTTCACATTGTTTTGCTTGCTTATATTTATTAGAAGTTTAAATTAATACATACTCTCAACTATATTTTTTCGCTTGAGATTATTTTGACTTCACTTCTTATCAAGTTGATAAATAAATTATCATATATATTCTTTCTAATTCTCACAACAACCTTTTTCTAATTTTCATGCTGGTTGGACAAACTCACATCTAGGTCTAACTTAATCAAGGCTATTTAGACAGACACATTTGAAAAGTGTTTATAAAATGTATAAATTATAAATAGATAGAAAATGAGTAGCGAATAAATAAATAGCAATTGTGGATCTCTCAAATTTTGTGGATAACAAATAATTTGATTACTCATAAATAATTTATAAATATTATCCAAGTATTAACTTAAAGTTGCTCAACTCAACCCCATCGAATGCACTTCTTTTTTAAGAAAAATCTTAACAAATCAAAGTTGACTTGACTTCATGTTTCAAAAATCAGTCAAAACATTATTATCATTACTACTACAAAAAAAAAATTTCAGTCTTAAGAAATATAAAGTGTTGCGGTTGGAGAAGAGAGATATATGAGGATATTTGTTAATATTTGAGAATTTATTATGGTGCGATTTGGAGGATGCCCTTGTTTAGTCCCCATTATTATCTTTTTTTCAATCACACATTTTTCAATAAAATAATATTACACGTAAATCCAAAAACTTGTCTTACTTGTTAACCGCACATTCTCCATCAAAATACTATTCCAAAATGTATTTTGAACAAAAAATAGGGCTAAAAAATTCATTAATAAGCCAACATTCATGGAATATGACTATGTATATGTTTCTTATTGTAAACTTCAAAAATAAATGAATATAATACAATCTCCTTTTTTCTTCTATGGATGTAGGCTTGCGACAATCGAGCCAAACGACGAAAGTCTTTGTGTTCTTTTTTA